GAGAGAGGGAGAGGGAGGGAGAATGAAGGAAATTGAAAGTGGGGATGCGGAGGAGCGAGGAGGAACGACAAAAGAAATTTGAAAGGTTCGTAGGCCCTACATGTTATTGTTACTAATGTTACATTGTAGCCTATCACAAAACGAGTGAAAAACTCGGAGGTCATAACATCAAAATAAGTTTGAATCTGAGGACCCCCTCCCTCTCCCCTCAGTCCCCACCACCACAGTTATAATCACCACAGCCACCAAAAACAGCTCGACGAATGTATTCCCCGCATAACGGCATCGTTCTGTAAAGGGAGACCACTCAATAAATAAAATACGAATTAATATGAAGTCAAAGCTCTCATTTTTACTCTTGGTTGTTTCCCTTAGATCACTGTGTTGGTTGCAATGTCCAGCCCAAAGATGATATTAGGGCTGGGCAATGAGTCGCTTCAGCAAAATCCGATTAACATGATGGTGAACCTCTTCTGTAAATAGTGTGATATGAACCGATTCGGCAAATGGGTTAGAACCACTTTGACCTACGGGTTAGCATCAGTTCAACGAATGGAGGTTCCCACCTCGATAAACGGGTCAGGAAAGAGAGTTCAAGAGTCTGAATTTGGATAATGTAGGCCTACTTATTGAGGATTATCCGATTTACCGGATATTTATCCGGATTTTGCCCACTCTAGATGATATACATGTATTTTTACGGTGTCAGGCCCAGCCCGTACACTGTGTCCTCCTCCTGTGCCAAATAGTTCCGTCATTTTGTTGTCCCTCATTTAACTGTGGCTGGAGTCACCTCGCTGCCTCAGAATTACATAATTCTATCCGACATTTTCGACCGTTTTGAGTTACGAAGTCCATGAGATTAGAAACCAGAAGCACTGTCTGCTCTATCAAAATCATACATGTAGTAGTAAGATTATTCTAAGTCGTTATCAAGATAATATTCAAAGACTTGCATTCGAAAAAGCTTGACATAACTATTATGAATTTCAAAATTTCAGACGTAAAATTTCTCAAAAGTAGGTAGATCTAGTGAGCAGGTAGAACTTTGTAAGTATTTATTTTTTTTTTTATTTCTAGAGTAGCGAAATGGTTATTACAGGGAATCAGATTTACTCTGCTCACCTCTCTAGCTTCAACAGCACAAGGTCTGCTTTGACTGTCAAGGCACCCCGGAAATAGCGGGTCACAAGAGTGTGACAAACATACAAAAGAAGTAGAGGAAAATGACAATAGTGTTAGGAAAGAAAAAGCAGCAGTTCCCTGTTGTAGATCAGGCACAGTTATGAGCGTGACATGAGTCAGCCCATTTACAATTCTACTGTGCTTGAATGTCCCCCCTTTGGGAATGGCCTAAAGACACTTCAGTCAGTGGCAGCGCCCC